ACTTGCGATCAGAGTCACGGAACGGATTAAGTTCGTAAGTAGAGGTACCACTGTATTTCCATAGTATGAATGCAATGTATTGTCAAGCCATGGAGATTTCTAGAACAACTCTTGAACATAATGGTCACAGAATAAAATAAAATATAATCAAGAATTCTTCTGACTCTTTAATGAAGACTACTGCCACTAATTCTCCAGTGGTTTTTTTTTTCTTTTCCTTTTTCAGTATGTTCCTGTCAGAATTAATTAATTATCTATTTATTTATTTATTTCAAATTTGCCACCATCCATCTTACTGCAGAGCAACTCTGGGCGGTTATATATATTTTAAATATGATTTTTTTTCTGTTTATATACATATTGCATGTATTTTTGTCATGTTTGCTCCTGAACAGATTTATCTTTTTTAGTTCTGTTCATAGCACAGAAGTAATTATTAAAATGGTATGCTATATGTGTATGTAAGTTCTAGTAATAAAAATCAAGGAGCGCAGTGGAAAAAATGGGACTAAAATGAAATATAAAGAAGACCATACTAATGACAACAGGTAGAACAACCAGCCTTAGAATTGATAGTGAAGGTATTGAAGTGGTGGATAGTTTCCGCCTTTTAGGATCAATCATCATGTCAGAATCCTCGCAACTTTTTATTACTTTTCTTAAGAAATAGTATTCATGCTTTAACCTGCTTGCTTTTTATGTGCTTAGTATTTGCTGTGGTTCTGCCATGGGGGAAGGGAAATGGATAGAAGAAGGCTAGAGGCAGATGGGCTCTTATCACAGGGACTGGAATGCTCAAGGCCGTACCAGTGGGAGAATATGAGGAGGCTACGTAGGTAGGGGGGTGAAGGAGGGAAAAAGGGTAAAAAACTTCTCATAATGCTTACAAAAATCTGAACAAGATTTTAAAGTACAGAAGAGTTGAAAATGACAACAGAGAGAGGAAACATATGTCAGTGCCTAATTCAAGCAGAAACTTGAATCTTTTTTCCTTATTAATTATGAAAATGGCTTCATAATTAGGGGAGTATCTCACATTGTTACTTCTGGTCATCTTATGACAGTCTTTTAGGCCCAGGGTTCCATGTTCTCTGGACTAGATACTGTATTTTGTATTGCTATTGCTATTCTTCCAGTTGTTAGGTCACACATTCTTCCCATTCTGTCTTTGAACCAAAAGGACTAGCAACTGGAAATCAGTGAATTAGTGAGCATGTGAAACTATTTTAAAACTCTGTTTCCATATTAAATGTAGATAGCTATTTATTTTGCTTAAAATAGTTTTCATTTCGTGTTTCTTAGGAATTTTTTTGTTGTACCTGCAATCTCCCAAAATATTGAAGCAGTGAAGCAACATGGATTGCATTCATTAGAAATTCTGCCTTTTATAAATGTAGGGGACTTTGAAATGGCCTTTCATATTTTGTTGCACTGCAAAAAAAAAAAAAAAAAAGGAAGGAGGAGGAGAAGCAGAAGCAAGAAAGAAAAAGGAGAAAGCACTTAGAAATCTTGTTCTAGTTGGATTGAAACTGGTTATAATCTTATTCAGAGATGGTATCCATAGGAAGCGAATGCAGATTTCTGTACAGAGATACTGAAATAAAGCAGTGCTTCCATTTTTTAAGGCATAGTACAAATGTATCAATGCCAACAAAGAAACAACTTAGAAAAGTTCATTCAGGAAAAAAAACCCCTAAATGTTGTAGGTAAGCATGTTATTTTCCCTTCTCATGAAAAAGGTTAGGTAAAAACAGATTGTATGATAGAAGACTATATCTTGCACTCCAGGGGTGCATAGTTTGCAATATAAATTAGTTGAACATTGCCATTTGAAGAACATCAACCATAGATAGTACCGGTAACAAGATAAAAGTGTTTGTAAATCCAAGTCTTTGCAGTACAAAAGGGAAGCAAATAAAGAAGATGTAGTAGTGATTGGATTGAATCACTTCAAAAAATGAACAAAAATCTTAATTCGCTCAGTTTTAGGTAAAACGTCTTGAAGAATAACTCTGTTAATGGAATCTTTTATCTTAAATGTTGAAATTCAATAGTTTGTGCTTGGTGCTTGAAAGTTTATAGAAAAGTTACTGTAATTGTGTTGTTCCTTATTCATTGGTTGTTGAGCTATTGCCGGTGGAACTATATCATAGCAGATGAAATCCAATAATTTAAATACTTATATTTCTATTCATGGAGTTTTATTTGATCTTTTACCTGTTAAACCAGATTACCTGTTGCCCTGCTTGAGTTCCTTATATGTAGAATAGGAGTAACAAAAAACTGTACTATGTTACATGATTCTTTTCAAGGGTCTGTTCATCTGTTTCTTCTTATTTGCACTTTTAAGCTTCTTGTACTTGTTTTCAAATGATCCTGGAATCTTTCCTCTCTGTATCTATAATCTGCATTATTCTTTGGAATCTTAACAATTATCCAGATAATATTTGTTTCTCTTGCCTCTTATTATAGGAAATACAGGTTTTCTGTATAATTGGAAGAAGTATAAAAATGTCAAATTGGGTCTAACTATTGGAAGAAATGTAAAAATGTCAAATTGGGTCTAACTATTAGCTTAAGCAGAGGTCAGATTTATTCCACAGTTTCATTATATGACTGCAACCCTTATCTGTTACAGGATTCTTAGTCTAAGTCTTACTTGTTGGTAGAATATAATTAGAATTAAGAATTCTTGGAGTGAGCCAGAACTGGATTCCAAAAATCAGGACAGCCACTAGGTGGCATTACGAATTGTCTGTGTTGCCCTTTAATAGTTGTCTAATTTTTTGCAGCACAGATGTGATAACTCTGTTTTTAGCTCTGGACCCAAAGAATTGGGTCTAAGAGTAAGACATCCATGGAGAGCTGTTACTAATGGGGCATAAATTTTGTATGCTGGATTAACTCGTTTGTGTCTTTTCAGCTGTGGTAGGCCAGAATTTTCAACATTTTTCATTTCTTGGAGTTTTAATGGGAGGATAAGTGGCAAAATGGGTAACTTAAAGCTCCTGTGATAAAATGTTTCAAGCTGGCTTTGGACTACTGCATGTACTTCCAAATTCTCTTTCACTGTTGAATCTCTATGACTCCAAAGGTTCTTTCAGCTGAGTTGTTTCTTCTGGGTCTAGTTCAAATAGCATCTTGAAGCAAACATTTAATCTTGGTTTCATTTGAGGACCAGACATACATACTGTATTTTTCCATCAATAAGACGCCCCCATGTATAAGACGCCCCCCACTTTTCCAACCCAAAATTAAGAAATCAGTATTTTAAA